AATATAATTAATATCATATTAATCTTATTTAATAAATTTAATACAAAGGCAAGCCTAAAAACATCTTCAGTTTTTAACAAAATAATTTATCTATGCATAATTATGATATATTGGAAATAACTAAAAATATTGTTTGTCAAGTCACCCCATTATTGAAAAGATATTGAATTTTTAAATTTTATAAATAATATATATTTAAAATAATATTTTCTTATAAAATATTATATATTTTAAAATAGATATTTTGTTGCTAAACATTTATCTTATTATATTTTAAAAACATTCGATTACTTTTGTTAACGGTAAAACATGATATTATTTTGTTATTTCTTTACATTTATCCATGTAACTTAATACACGCATCAAAGGACAAATAAAAAATATTTTGCTTACATTCAAATTAATTTTGAGATTTAAATGTCACATTCACATAATTGTTCTCATTTGTAATATCTGTAAAAAAATATCTAACCATTAAAATAAAATATAGACATTGCTTAAAAAAATGGTAAATAATTGAATTTAATCTTTAGTAGACAAGTAAATAAAAATAAAATTCAAATTTATGTTTAAAGAAATGGATATCTTATTATAAATCCAATTTATAATAAGTAAAACTCTTTCGTTTGTTGATTAACTATGTAAGAAGTTTAATCATTTAGCAGTTTTAAAAAGAAAAATAAATTTTAGTGACACTAAAGACATACTTGAAACATTACACTCGTTAGATAAATAACATCTAAAGGGGTGAATAGATGTCAAAATAAAATTTTTTATTTAAGATGTCCAATAATTTGTTAATTCAATTTTAATTATCGAATTGAATACAGATAAAGTGAAAGCTATAAAATAATAAAAAAGATATAGGGAAATATAAAAACATACAGGAATTTTTATTGGTTCGGGTCAAACCAACCTTACATTCAGTCCTCTATTACCTCTAATACGAGAGAGACAACCCAATTCACTATCTTTAAAATTCAGTTCAGTAAATTAATTAAGAAGATAAACACCTCTCTAGGATCCTACTAGAGATGAACACCTCATCTGAACAAATCAAATGATGAACATAGAAATACACTCTCAAGAATTCCACATGAGATGAACACCTCCTCTGAACAAATCAAAGGATGAACTCAGAAACACACCTCTAAAGAATCCCACTTGAGATGAATATCTCCTATGAACAAATCAAATGATGAACTCATAAACATACCTACAAAGGATGAACAGTTCCTACAAATGAAACCCTAAATTGCAAGAATTTCAACAAAATAGTCACACCTGATAATGGATACAACAAATTGTAAAAATCTGTAGAATTATAACTCTAAGAACAAGTGTGATTAACAATGAAGACACCGAAGAGAATAAGGAAAAGATTTTCTTAGAAAATGTAAAATGGTTATGTTGCCTTGCTCAAAATGATTTCCTCAAAATTGATTTTCTGTTAATTGTGTATTCAAATTCTGTGTTTTCGATTTTTTATCAAAATTTATTTTAATAGGAAAATAACATTGAATATGTCAGAATAAAAATAAAAGATGGTCGTTGCTCAGTAATTAATTTGCAGAGACAAATCAAGATGTTTTCAACAACTATTATTCTTCAAAAATGAATATATTTTTTAAATTCAAAGTGTCATAATCGATTATGCTACTTGCATAATCGATTATGACAGAGCTAAAATCAATTTTTATTTCTGATGCATCAAAATCGATTATGGTACTTGTATAATCGATTATGATAATGAAACTTTTAAAAACAATTGTTTCATGTGCTGAATAATCGATTATGAACCTCTCATAATTGACTATACTGTCATAATATGAAAATTGTTTCATACTTGTGTTTTAGATGCTTGTGCAAAATACTACTTCATCAACTTGTACCTTCATATCCAGTGTTCTAAAATTCTATCTAGTCTTTTGGGCTTGCATAAGTCTTGAATGATATTGACTTATCTTCATCAAAATTATCTTCTTCAAAATATAAAAAAATGTTTTACATTGCTATCAATCTCCCCTACGAGTGCTTTCATACACTTCATTGTATAAAAATTAATTATAATACATAAATAAATATAATATATATAAATATTTAATATTATTAATTGATTTTTTTTTCATTTATTCTTTGTTTTATTTTAAAAAATAAGTTTATAAATTTTTTAGATATTTTTAAAATCCAACCTAAATTTTTTTATTGACATTTTAACATAAAAATAAAATATTATAACATATAAAAAAATAATTAATTAAAATTCAATAAAAAGTTATATAAATATTTTATATATTTTATACTATATTACACATAGTAATCTTTTATAATAATAAACAAAAACAATTCACCGTTTATTTTAAAAAATTATTTTGGATATCTATTTTGAATAGAAATATCTGTTTTGAATAGAAAAAAAAATAAAGAATACAAATTTATAATTTTATAGTATGAAACTGTAAAAAAAATGAAAATTAAAGAAAAAATTTACAAATTTTTTAAAATAAAATTATAAAAAAGAATATGAAAATAAATGAATAATAGATTAAAAAAATGAAAAAATAAAGTAAATTTCTGATAAAAGAAATGAAAAGAGAAAAGTAAAAATGTAAAAAAAAGGAAAAGATTAAATATAATATTGATTTCAAAAAAAAAATTTAAATTATATTTATAAAATATATTTTTAAAATAATTATTGTATATAAAAGAATTAATTTTTTGTTTGGAGACTGTGACCTCACAGACCCTTTAAATCCGGCAGTGAATGATACCTTCAAAACTTTAAGAATAGAAAATTAAAAAAAAATCTATTAACACCTCAAAAAATAAAAAAAAATGTGATTTATATCGAGAATTTTTAAAAAAAATTTAAAATTAGTTTTAAAAATCAAATTTGAAATTTTTTTGTAATTAAGTTAATTTATATGATTCCATTTTTTTGGAAATTGTTTATTAAAAAATTATAAAAAACAAGTGATTTAATATAACTAAGATAAAAATATGCATACTTATAAATAAAAATTGAAAATTAAAATAAATTTATTTTATCATTTTTTATATTTAAAACTTAAAAGATAAATTCAACTTTTAAAAGTTATTTAATAAATTATTTATCAAATAAAAAAACTAAAAACCAAAATATGTTTTTAAAATAAATTAACAAATAAACTCTAATAATAAAAAGATTAAATAATTTGTTATTAGTTTTAAATATAATTTTTTTGTTTTATAAAATTTGAAAATAAAAAAATTTTAATAAATGTTTTGTTATAATAATCTCAAAAATTGACTTTACAGTTTTTTAAAACAAAAAAAATAATAAAATATACTTTTTAAGAATATTACATGTATATATATTTAAATTATTGCTTAAATTATACAGTTTTATTGCTTAAATTATACAGTTTTATTGCTTAAATTATATTATATAATTAATCTTTTCTCAAAAATCGTATCCTTTTATTTTAAATAAATTTTAATGTATATATATTTTTTTATAATTTATTCTTATTTTTTTTTTAAATTAATTATTGAAATTATATTTAAAAAATAAATAAGTCAAACAAACTCTAAGAATTTTAAAAAAAATTTGAAGATAGTGATAAGTTGATATTCATATTTCCTCTTCAAAATTACATGAAATTCCTCATAAAAAAACAAAGGAAAGTAATTTGTTAAAATATTGTGCATTTCTAGGTAGTATAATTTTTTTTTATAATTACAAAAATCTTAATTGAATATCACAAAACTACAATTTATTTTAAAACAGTTTTAATAACATTGATTAAAAATAATATCGTAAAACTAATTTATGTTATTAAAGAGTCTTATTATCTTTTTTAAAATCCCAATTGAATGTATTCTTAAATGTGTCAACTTTATTGATCAGTTTCTCCTGATGACCAATAATTTACACCAAATTTAAAATTTAAAACTATAACATTTTAATAAATAATAAATTTATTGATTATATCTTTAATATTTTTAAAGTCTGTCAAAATAAGATAATTTTTTTTAATATTTTGAAGATTTCAAATATATAATACAGTATAATTTATATTTTGAAAAATGGTTATTATATGTTTAATCTTATTTTTTTTATGATGTAAGTAAGAGAAGAGTATAAAGAAAAGAAGTAAAAGGGAGTCATGAAAAAGATCAACGGATACGAAAGTGTGATAGAAAAAAGAAAATTCTATTTTGGTTGGAGAGGCAAACGCAGAGAAGAAAAAAAGCTATAATAGAAAAGAATATTCACACGCAAGCTCTTTTTCCGCTGGTGGATTTATTTCTTTCAGTTAGATATTTTTACCTTCGTCTTATTTTCAGCGCACAAAACTTTTGTGTTTGGCACAGGCAGCGAAGAAAACGTGAAGAGAAAATTAGGAAAAAAATTTGATTCAACTTGGAAAAAGCAGAGAAAAATCTCCTTTCCTTTCACCGATATCCTCGCCAAGGTCCTTCGAAACACACAAAATCTCAATCCAACTTCGTTTCTTCTCCCATTCGCTCAGGTTCGCTTCTTCTTCGTCTTCTCCTTCTCACTCGATATTGATTCGGTCATTTTTTTTTCCAATAATCGCGAGTTCTCGTTTTTCTTCTCGATCTGTTTGCTCGCGGATTTGTAATTTTTTGTTTATTTTTCTTAGGAGTTTTTGTGATTTGGAAGTTGTTCGGTTTTCGGATGATTATTTGAGAATATTGTTACTTTGCTTTGCCCGGATTTCGCGTTCGCGATTTGAGTTTCTGTGGTTTGTTGATTTCAAGTTTGGAATTCGAGTTTTGCTTACTGCGATTTCGTTTTTTTATTTTTTACTGTTTAGTGATTTGTTTTCTTTTTTCGTTTTTTGTGTAGCTGATCGTTGTTGTGTGATAAAGCGTTCACGAAAGAGGATCGGGGATTGGGAAACGTAGTTCGGTGTCGTGGGGTGTTTTTTTTTCTTTTTTTGGTTCTGCTCTGCATTTGCTTGTTATAAAGCAAAGTCACGATTTCTGCAACTATGAGAACTTCGTGGGCGGAATCTGCTGACAACTCAGCCATTGGTTCTGGCAATGGCAATTCCTCAGCTTACCCTCCACGCGGAGCATATGTGCCACCGCATCTTCGCAACAGGTCGTTACCGTCGGAGGTTCCTCCGGCGGCGGCTTCTTTGCCGGTGAATGACCGGGTGAATCATGGTGGTCCAGCTCCTCATCACGGTGGTGGTTACTTTAAAGCTGATCAGGGGCGGCAACAAGGACACGGTTCTGGTTATCAGACTGGTGGGGGCTGGAATGTGAGAGGGGCGGGGAGGGACCGTGGGAGGCGTGAGGTAAACCCTTTTGAGAATGACGAAGCTGAGGAGCAATCTTTTAGTGAGCAAGAGAATACTGGGATTAACTTTGAGGCTTATGATGATATACCTGTGGAGACTAGTGGGGAGAATGTGCCCCCGCCGGTGAATACATTTGCCGAAATAGACTTGGGCGAGGCATTGAATCAGAATATACAAAGATGCAAGTACGTGAAACCAACCCCGGTTCAGAGGTATGCCATTCCAATTTCCCTTTCGGGGCGAGACTTGATGGCCTGTGCTCAGACTGGGTCAGGAAAGACAGCTGCCTTTTGCTTCCCTATTATAAGTGGAATAATGAGGGAGCAATATGTTCAAAAGCCACGCGTCGCTAGAACTGCTTTTCCGTTGGCACTTATCCTCTCCCCTACACGGGAACTTTCATGTCAGGTGCTATTATGATTTTAGATTCTGGTTTATACTGCCTTATTATGTATGTTGGTCAATCTATTTCCTCAAAATCCAAAATGTCCTTATCTTGCAGATACACGATGAGGCCAAAAAGTTTTCTTACCAAACAGGTGTCAAAGTGGTGGTTGCTTATGGAGGAGCTCCAATCACTCAACAGGTTATTTTTACCCATTAGTGTTCTAGTCACTTAGACTTAATTTGGCCTTATTTTTATCCAACATACACTTAGGCTGGTGCATGCAATATTTATATGTGTTCATTTTTCTTTCTAATAAGGAGCATAAATTGTTAAACAAAAAAAATACCATTTTTATTTCGAGCTAGGACAAAGTTGTGTTTAAATGATTGAGTTTGGTTCCTGTAAGGTTAGTGTTATTAGTAGTTGATGAGAAAATTCATGATTAATATTGTGTTGCATTGTTCAGTTACGGGAGCTTGAGAGGGGCGTTGATATTCTGGTGGCTACACCTGGACGATTAGTGGATTTGCTTGAGAGGGCTCGGGTTTCACTGCAGATGATAAGGTATTTGGCTCTTGACGAGGCAGATCGGATGCTGGACATGGGTTTTGAGCCTCAAATAAGAAAGATAGTTGAACAAATGGACATGCCTCCTCCAGGCATGAGACAGACACTGCTATTTAGTGCCACATTTCCCAAAGAGATACAGGTATCTTGTGACTCGTTCTCATTCATTTTATTAAATTAATTACTCCAAAAAAAAAAATCTCTCTATAGTGCCTTTGTAAAATGAAAATAATTTGGGGGAAAGTTTAATTGCTCATCTTTATCTTAAAGCTGGAAACACCTTTTCTCTAAAGAAGTTAACAAGTTCATTTACTGTAAAAAAAAAATCATTTTTCGGGTATTTCTTTTCCTTTATTAGGGGGTACATATTATTTGAAGTGAGAAAAAGGAAATGTTTAGCAACTGAGATTGACATTGCCTTATATGAGGGGTTTGACCAACTGTGTCTATTATGTAGACTCCTTTGTTTCTACAACCATCCAGTTTTAAAATTTTTATAATTGCAAGTGGATCTAGATTTGGGAAGGTGGAAGTGTTGATGCCTATAACCAAATTTCATTTGTTTAGCAGATGCAAACAATGCCACTGTTTGGGTTATTACATGTTGGCGGAAAATATTATTCGTAGAGCTAGTATGGTGGTTGCATCAGTGGTTTATTCAAATTAACCATGGTGATATAATGTTTGGGAATTGTTGAGGGTGATGCTTTCTATTTGTCAATTGTCACTAAGATACTTAAATTTTGATGTGTCTTCCTGTTAAATAAATTATCAATACTTTGGGATGAGGATGATGCCTTGTATGTGAGATAGAAAAATCAAGAAACCTTGAGTTGTTGGCAACCAAGTTGCAATCAGCTAGATGTAATTTTCTCTTAGCTACATGATAGCACAATATTTATGACTTTTGAAAAAGTGGGTTTGAGATAGCACATTTTGCCATTTTCATTTGAATGCAGAGACTTGCATCAGATTTTCTTTCAAGTTATGTGTTTCTGGCTGTTGGAAGGGTCGGTTCAAGTACTGATCTAATCGCTCAAAGAGTAGAATATGTGCTTGAGTCAGATAAGAGGAGCCATCTCATGGATCTTCTTCATGCTCAGAGGGAAAATGGAATTCATGGCAAGGTAAATTTGTAGTAGCCTGTAAACACTGCCGTTCTTCAGCCTTGTGTTTGTGTACACGTTAATAGTTTTTTTTTTTTTTTTTATATATTATTATTAAAATTCACTATTTTTAAAAACTTGTGCTGCACTGAAACTACTGTTTGCCATCAGAATAGGTAAATATGAGTTGATAATGTATCATACTAATGAAGGATTTTTGGTGGTTCTTTGCAGCAAGGTCTGACATTAGTTTTTGTGGAAACAAAGAAAGGAGCTGATGCATTGGAACACTGCTTGTGTGTTAATGGATTTCCTGCAGCTAGCATTCATGGTGATAGAACACAACAAGTGAGTCTGTTTTCCTAATGCAGTTTAAGTATAAACATGTAAAGCCTGCCAACATTTTGATTACATTGAAATTGCCTTTTTTTTTCTTTGTTTATTTCATGGTACTTTGTTGTTTATTCGTGGCCAGTGGCTTGAATTGGTTTACTCCAAATAGATGTAGTAATGAGAGTTTAACTTGTGTTATTAAGTTCTACCTTTCCCTATGAGCAGCAGCTCAATTTTTATAAAAAAATAAAAAATATATAAAGGATCAAATTTAAGACTTCATTTTAATCCCTATCACCATAGAAAGAGAATTGACATCATGTATCTAATTTTTATACGAACACAACAACAAAAACCTTTTCTCACTGGCTGAGGTGGTTGCATTAATGACATGATGTCATTATGTTATTTAAAGACCAGATTTTCGGAGATATTACTTACCATGAGATTCATCATTACTTCCTCCAGTGTCGTTCTTGGTGTCCTCCCCCACTTTTTTCACAAGACTATAAAAAAGCCATGCAATTTAATCTCCTCCACTAGTGTTTCTAGCTGCTCTGTCTGTACTGTTCAAACTACTAAAATGGATTTGTCATCTTTTTTAACTGGTACTACACAAATTTTGTGTACAATCATTTTGTGTCCTGTATTTTTTTATGCAACCACATATTCATATTAGCATTTCATTTCTGCTGAAGTGAAAACCCCGTTTTCCCCCTCCAAAGTCTGTTTCAAAAGCTCATCCCTTGATTCTTCAATCACATATATATCATCTACAAAGAGCATGAAGTTAGGGACAATCTTCTGGATTTCCCTAGTAAGCACATCCAAGACTATATTAAACAAGGACTTAAGGCTAAGCTTGGATGTAATCTAATCTTTATAGAAAAACCCTTAGTCTCACTCGATCATACTCATTTTCAAGCTAATAAAAAACATATGTTACTGCATTGCTTTGCTTCAGTACCTTTCCATCTTCTTGGATTTCTAGTTATTTCATACTACAAGCCGATTCTTGTTCATTGATGAAAAAATTACAAAAATATTTTTAGGTCTCTCTTTGATATGTTCATCTGGGATCATAACTTTCCCTACTTCATCCTTAATACGTCTTACATGATCCAAATCTCTCGATTTCCTTTCTCTATTTTCGCCAAGCTTATATATATATTACATTCTCATTTTTCATCCCAAAATCGGTTAAGAACTCTTGAAAAGCTATAGATTGTGTTTAACTCTAAAATTTTCATCTCATTTCAAACATTATGATATCTTGCCCAATTTCTAACAGAGAATCCTTATCTATTGGTCTGAAACCTTTTGATTCTCCCAAGACTGCTCTAACAACCCTCCTAAGACTTCTTTTTAGACATCTCATCTCAGATGAGGTTAACATTACCATGTAATTCCCAATTGCCTTTCTCCAATAATTTATTCTTGAAATTCAAATTTTTATCTCCCTTGAGTTCCTACCACTTGATTTTTAGATTTGAAACTTGTTGGGTTTTCCGCCTAAGAAAATATTTTCCTCTTATGGAATGCCTTCTACCAACCCTTTCTAAATCTTTCTAATAATTTTCTTTTAGAAGTGCCTCCGATCTTGTGGTGTAAAAGCACAAATGATATGATGGCTCCCCTTGTCTTCTCGAATTTTTCTCTTTCAACAAAGTCTACTGTTTTATTTTTACTATAATTGAAATGTGGGTTTCAACTTAATCACATATATATTGCAATTTTTAAGTAAATTCTTCATTCAACTTTAAATTTAAAACGGGATTAAACCACGCTATCCTCCTTGATTCATTTATTGAATAATATTGAATGGCTTTTCGGCTTCTTAGGTTACTTTTCTAATACTTTTCATGTCCTCTTTACCAGAAGAACCAATAGAATTTATGCTTTTAAAGTTTCAAATTACCTCTTCGTTTCTTTGGTACAATAAACTTTTTTCCCCAAATTTTTGGCAATCATAATATTGTTGTGCTCACTTTTTCTACGAAGAATGAATTGCGAGAACTACTACTTGAATCCTTAAAATCTGTCAATGTCTTAGTAATTTGAATTCTTTCCCCAAAGGCTTGCCAAAGATTCTATTTACAATCACTTTACAGCTTAGAAAGTGCTTTCTCGGATATATTGTTAGAACTTCTGAACGAGAAGTTGTACTTGTATATATTTCTTTTGTGCTGTGTACTCCTGAAATAAATGTGTATTGTGTAATGGTTTTGTTTCAGGAAAGAGAACTAGCATTGAGGTCGTTCAAGACTGGAAACACACCAATTCTAGTGGCAACGGATGTTGCAGCACGTGGTCTGGACATTCCTCGGGTAGCACATGTGGTAAATTTTGATCTTCCCAATGACATCGATGATTATGTGCACCGAATAGGAAGAACAGGGCGAGCTGGTAAAATGGGATTAGCAACGGCCTTCTTCAATGAAAGTAATTTGTCCTTGGCTAAACCGTTGGCTGATCTGATGCAAGAAGCGAATCAAGAAGTACCTGCCTGGCTCACTCGTTATGCAGCAAGGGCTATTTACAGTGGTGGCAACAGAAATAGGAGGTCAGGGGGATCCCGTTTTGGTGGTCGTGATTTTAGGAGAGAGGGCTCGTTTAATAAATCAACAGATTACTTTGGCGGTGGACCTGGTGGTGTAGCAGGTGGGGGATATGGCAATTATGGTGGAGGTTATAGTCAAGGTGTGACAAGTGCTTGGGATTAGATTAGCGTCCCATCACTAATTCATTCTCACGTTGATTGTATATAAATTTCAGACTTTAATGGTGAAAGGCTGTATCTTCTCAACCGTGGTTTGCCTGAATCTATGCATTCCTTACTCCATGAAATCTTTTTATCATAGGAAAGATTTACTATTGGCTTGGTTTTGCTGGTTAGGCAAATAAGGTGGGAAAATGCTGCATATGGAGAAGACAAAATCTGTAAGCAACCCAAAATTTCTGACTGGGATGACTTGTTTGAGTCTGTACTGTAGAAGAGGGAGAGGGTGTAAACAGATTGGATTGGGACCAAAGGGCAGATATTTCTGAGTTTGATGGTGAGTAATGCTGTGTATTATGTATTTTGTTAGGTCCTTAGCCTTTGACAGTCTAAGTCAGGAGTTATCTCTAATTAGCATGCACATATTATTGATTTGATTATTCTATCACCTGAACGGTTCTGCGGTTAATTACCTAATTTTGTCTTCCCTTACTAGAAGGATCCATTAGATCAATTTCTCTGCGACTGACTGTAACTTTCTAGCCTATCTAGTAGACTGTCGGTAACTAAGAATTCTTCTTGAAAACCAAGTTACCCTTAAGTTGTCGATAGTTTTCATGGTTGTATACTACGACATATAATATTTTGGATTATACTCTTGTATGCCCGTTAAAATTATGTATTTTTATTAATATTGTGAAATAACTTTACCCAACTTTCCAGATTGTAAGAGTTTCGTGAAAAAAAAGAGAGAGAAAGTGTTATCATGCTTGTCATATAGCCTTTCATTTCGTATCTCAGTTTTATCATAAATCCACTCGTATATATAGTTTGAAACAGGAAAATTTTTTAAATCAATCAAAATACTACACGATATTTTGTGTTTAGTCTCCCTTTTAATCTATGGTATGTGTCAACCTAGTCAACCTAAATTAAATTATGGATTTGGATATTTGTTTATCTTGATAAGATGATATCGAATCTATTGTTGACCGTGAGATAAATATCTAAATTGATATTGTGTTCGTAAATTTGGGGAAAAACCAGTAAAATTTCATCATGGGTTTATTATGTAGTAAAGTGGGCAAAATAAGAAATGGACATTTGTGTCCAAAGGAGATTGACTTACTAACTGAAACTAGTCTACTTACAAAAAATATTAAAAAAAGACAATCATTAATAAATTAAAATTGGACTAAAGAGGCAGAATGATTTTGAGATAATTAAAACTAATTTTTCTGCCTGAGTAGGTATGTCAATTAGATGGTTGCACAAATGTGATTTTTTTAGTGTGACAATAATGGAGGAAAAGAGAAGGATGGATACAAATCGGTTTGGGTTTGAAAAGGATGATTTTATCTGGATTGATCAATTAAATATGTTAGAATCAGTTTAAAGTTTTCTTGTTTAGATTTCCAATCTTATTGAGTGACTGAATTTATTGTTAAAATTATAGAAAATAAAAATTGAAAAATATATAAAAATCGAGAAAAAGGAAATTGAAGCTAAAACATTATTAATGATCAAATCAGTCTAAGTTAAAATCAGTCATAAGGAAATTGAAGCGTAAATGTTATTATCAAATGATTGATAATATGTTTTTAGTTAAATATATAATTTTAAGTTTTTTATTTAATTATTTTATAATTTAAATGATCTAATTATACAAACAATAAACTTATGTTTTTAAGATTATAAAGATAAAAAAAAACTATAAAACAATAAAAATTTATGTCCATATATATATTAAAGATGATATAAATTTCGGATAATATATATATTCTTAAATTTTCTAGACATCTTTAATAGGATGATTACAAAATAAATAATATCTCAAATATTAAACTTATCTTTAATAATATTATCAAAGATAAAATTAAGATTCACTCTTATGGTGAGTTGGTGTTCCTAATAATTGATATTTTACATATTTATTTCTATTTGTTTTAGTATCATAATAGAAAAAGAGAGTAATTATTATGATATAACTTTTGTTATTTATTTATTCATTTTATTATAATATTAATTTTAAATTAAACTTATACATTATATTCAACTTTTAATTATTTTTCGTGGTTACAAATTACTTTTTAAATTTTGTATAGTTTTTTAATTTTCAATTATATTTTTTTCTCATATTTTGTTTCGATAATTTTTTCTGAAGTTTCTATCCTGCAATCTTTTCCCATTTTCTATACTTGTATTTTCTTTTTCATCTTTAATCTTTATAAATTCTTATGTCATACATGAAATCATTTATTTTGTACTGGCAAACACGTAATCACCTTAACAATTCAATATTTCTTAATAAATTAGACAGTGGAAGATATAAGTAAAAGGTTTGAACACATACAAAATTAATTTTAAATATATTTTACGAAGATGAAAAAAAAAATGTCAAAGTACAAGATAAAAAAAATTAGAAAATATCTATAATAAAACAGTAAATTTATTTGATTAAAGTAAAGGTTTAGGTTCGATTTCTCTGCTGCAAACATCATTTTCCTGTGCATAAAAAGGAAACGTTTCGAATCGAAACCGGAAGCAGGAACTTGAGTTTACGCGAATGGAGGAAAATGGCGCAACAGAGGCAGAATGGAAGGAGGATATTTGGTGCAGAGAGACAGTGCCAAAGGTTTTCAAACTCGTCTGCTCCACATTACCTCTCTCTCAGACAAACCTCGTTTCTCTCCTTCTCGTGTCTCCCGCACTTCACCGAACCCTTCTCTCTTGTCAACCCCTTTGGCAGGTATCTACTCCTCAACTCTTGTCATTTTTCATCAAATTATACTTTCATTTTTTGTTATTAATCTCTATTTATATGTTTATTTGTTTTTGGGTTGTAATTAGTCACTCAATTTTCGCGAGTTAAACAAAGCTGGGAATCGCCTTATAGCTTCTCTTTCTCTGGTTAGTCATTTTTTTTTTATTTAACCTATATTTGTTTGGGTTGATATAATTTACTGATTTTTGTTCAAGTACCTAATGGTGTAGTGAGTTAATTGTGTAATAATAAAAGGCTTCGTTGCGTAATAATTGTTCTATCAAACGTGTTAATCATTGATTCATATGTGTGAAAGAAAATACCTATGTTTGGGGAAGTCGGTTCTTTAAATGAATTTTAGTATCTCGAGGGGTACTGATTCACCAAAAGAAAATAAAAATGAAAGACTTGACTGTTTTTTAATTCTTTTTTATGCAATGAGTTTTGTTTAACATTTTTTGGTTATTTGGGTTGGAATTTGGTGCATTCTTGTAGCCTAGATATTGCAATGTGAAGCAGATTGACCTTGAGTTTGCGAGAGATATTGAAGACACGCATCTCATTATTGTTAAGGATAAGGTATCATATGCATAAACTTTTACTATTTTGTATTTTTGTTTAAGTTTTACGTTCATCTTTATGTTAAGTACCCTGCTTGTTTAACCAAAATAATCACATAAATTTGTTAATAAGTTACGTGAACAAAACTGATTAGTGGATACCTCCACTAGAGAGAGAAAGGTGTAGGAATGTTAGGTGATTTGATGTGATAGGAAACGAAAAGAGTCTAGAGTGAAGATTGTCCACCAATCAATTTGCAAAATATGCCTGTATTATTATATTTTCTAACTTCACAATACAGAATTTTGCTTTAACAATATTGCTAATATCTTACGATGTGGAAAATTGACATTTCTTCGAACCTGGTACATCCAGCTTGATAAAATTAAACATTTGATGCATAAGCATGAAAATATTACTGATATGGTATAATCTAGTTTTACGATATTCTTTTTCTTTTGATGTTTTGGTTATTATATCATGCTGAAGTATTACTACATGTAACTTGTGTCACTGAATTTGTTGAATAATACGCAGAAAGAAGATAGCATCAACTTACAACTATATTCTTGTAATGGGAATGCATATCATGGATTGAAGAAGAACTAAGAATTTTTTGTATCTAAGAATATATTAAGAAATGAGACCACCGAACTGGAATCAGTTCCTGGATTATGAATTGGCTACCTGTAACTGATTGCATATTGATGGGCTTAATTTGCCTGGTTGCAGTCAAAATTTAGAAGTCATATCTGATTCTCTTTCATAATAATTTATTCTTTGGCAGAAGCTGGAATATATTATCTTTGCTAATTAGATAGTTATTGATAAAGAAAACAACCTTAGTTGGTAATGTTTGCACAAATACTTTATGATGTAGAATATATGTTGACTGCGATTCTAACTAAATATTTTTAAGCATGTCTAGTGTTTTAATTCTCTTCAAAGCTTGGAGTCTTTAAATCTGAATGGCTGCCAAAAAATATGGGACACAGGAATTGAAGCAATAACCAGTTGTTGCCCCCAGTTGAAAAGCTTTTCAATCTACTGGAATGTCAGGTGTTTTAAACTTTTCTTAATGGTTGATGTTTATGTCAGGAGTTGATAATCTTTATTTGCCCAAAAGTCAATCCTTAGTAACATACTGAAATGTAAATCAATATTACAGGGTAACGGATAGAGGACTACAGCATATAGTGAAGAACTGCAAACATATAGTTGACTTGAACATAAGTGGATGTAAGGTACATGATGCCTTGGATTTGTAATTGGTTTTTTATGTGTTATTAATTTACTGTATGTTGTTTTTCAAAGGTTTTGTTAGCATATGTAAACAGAAAGAATTGTATCCCATATAAGCATTGTTGTTAAATGCCAGTGTCATGACAGAATGGTGTGGTGGATTTTTTGCCAACCACCATAGGCAATTTGTTAAGTAATATCTGTTATGGTAACGCCATAGGCTACAATGGGTTGTTTATATGGCAGAATTTTGTTCTTCCGCCATATTCTGGTCTCCACCATTTAAAATGCTGTATGAATGTACATTTAATTGGAAGTCTATGGGTTGATTTGAAGGTAATAAAGTGTGCACTTGTATCTTTTTGTGGTCATTTGCACTTGTATTATGCTCCATGGTCATGTGCACTTGTAATATGCTCCGTGGCCTTTACTGTGTTCTGATTTACACCTTAGTCAATTTTTATACATACTCTACATTTTGGTGTTAACCTATTAAGTAACTGTTAAGGTTCCACATTAAAATCAATTGGCAATATGTGAAGTAGCCTAACATGTATTTAAACCATACCAAATAACATACCAAATAACATGAGGTAGGCGATGTGAGACTTTCAACACACCCCCTCCAACGAAGCCTGCCGGACCAGGCAAAGGGTACATTTGACTCAACTAAAGGGTAACTTTTGGCCCATGACAATAATCGAAAATATGTTAGGCTTTGGCTCTAATACCATGTTAAGGTTCCAACATAAAACCAATTGGCAATATGTAGAGTAACCTAACATGTATTTAAACCATACCAAATCACATGAGGTAGGCGATGTGGGACTTTCAACACACCCCCTCTATCGAAGCCTGCTGGACCAGGCAAGGGTACTTTTGACCCAACTAAAGGGCAACTTTTGACCCATGACAATAACTAAAAATATGTTAGACTTTGGCTCTGATACCATGTTAGTGTTCCAACATAAAACCAATTGGCAATATGTGGAGTAGCCTAACATGTATTTAAACCATACCAAATGACATGAGGTAGGCGATGTGTGACTTTCAACAGTAACTATCATCCAACTTATCTTTTTATGGTCATGTGAACTGGACTATGCCCCGTGGCCATATTGTGTTGTAATTTACGCTCAGGTCAATTTTTCTACATACTCTTAATTGTTGCATTGTTAATATATATGCTATCTCCATGTATGCTCTTCAAATGGAAAAACAAGAAAGGGATTATATGTAAATTGCATATAGGCCTCTAACAAAGAGCCTTTAGGCTACAATTTGGTATTTTCTATACAGTATTACTATATATGCTTTTAAAATCCGGTTGGATAAACTTTTCCAAGACAGAAGAATAAAATTAAAAAATGAAATATTCTTCTTGAAAAGCTAAAATTAGCTTATGCATAAGCTTTTAGATAAGTTAATATGAGAGCTTATACAAATTAGCTTATGCATAAGCTAATTTTAGCTTTTCGAGAAGATGATTTCATTTTTCTTCTTACTTTCTTTTATAAGTGTTTATGAAAAAGTTTTTCCAAACAAACCCTTATTATCTTTGTTTTTTCTTGATAAGAAAATGGTATTTAGTTCCTTAGTGCAATTTTAGTTTAGAATAAATTGAAAATTTTCTATTGAGGGTTGATACTTGTATTTTCTGAGGATTGACAAAGAACTTTCTACGATAATTGCAGAATATTTCAGATCAAGGTGTACAACTTGTTGCTGATAATTATCCAGAACTAGAGTCCCTAAATTTGACTAGGTATCGCCATTAATTTATAACAGATTCTGTGAGATTTTGCATGCTATGGAATTATAAATATCATTTTCCAGATAATAGATCAGAAAGGTGATAGTTTGGGGTGGAAGGATTATGATGATGCAAATGAACACTGGGGTCAATTATCCCTATTTTCTGATGCATATATCCATAATTTGATGCTTAGGTGCGTCAAAATAACAGATGATGGGTTGAAGAGTTTGTTGCATAAATGTCTTGTTCTTCAGAGTTTGAATCTCTATGCATTGTCAAGGTTGGCATTGGAACCTTACACTAAACTCAAGTTATGTTGCCGTGGAATTTCACTAATTCATATCATTACTATCCTTCAGTTTCACAGATGAAGCTTACAGGAACATATGCGCTCTATCACATCTCACATTTTTGGATCTTTGTGGGGCCCAGGTAAAATGTCTCGGTTATCTTCATATTTCTCTGCAACCCTATCTAAGCAGACTACCAATAGATAAAATATTGGCTTGCAGAATCTTTCAGATGAAGGACTTTGCTGTATTTCGAAGTGCAAGAACCTTGAATCCCTCAATCTGACATGGTAAATGAATTTTCAATCTGAACATTTACTTGTCATATTAAAGTAAAGGGCTCATTTATAAATTTACATGATAGGTGCGTACATGTGACTGATGAAGGGGTCATATCCATTGCAAAGGGTTGCACCTCTCTTCAGTTTCTAAGGTATATTTTGTAGCTTTTACATATACAGTACTAGGTGGTGCACTCTTGACTTATGAATTTTTTTTTTTTTTTTCTTTTTTGCCATATTATGAACATAAATTCTTCTCAAGATATAGGGCGGGGTTTGAATGTTTACTTTTTTGTTTCAGTGAGGAGCATTTTAAAGTTCATTGTACTATTTACAAGTTTGCATGCAACTTGCAAAACTAGCACGACTGTTATTTTCGCTAGTTATAACTTTATAATAATAATCTGAGTAGTTAAGTTTGAAACCTGTGGCATGCAATGATGGTATACTTCTGTCATCTCATTTGAGGACAAGACACTCGTTCAGCATACCACATTTATCAAGTGGCCAAGCTTGTTTGAGGTAATTGAGTCTTGGGTCACTAGCTTTATCTTATTGAAGTTGTCTCTCTAAATCATGACATAGGAAGTAATGCATTGTTGTGCATAGGCTTAGTAAAGAGCATGAGGTAAGAAGAGTACATTTTAGTTATACAATCATCTTTAATTTTTTTTTAATTAATTTTAATCTTAACTATCATTTCTATTACATAGTTGAGGTTTACTTCTTTCATAATATGATGTCACCTAATATTCTTTCTCTGTGTTGCTATCCAAAAGTCGCTTCTCACTGATTTGTTGAAAGGTCGTATGTAGCTTGTTTGGAATAGTTGGCGTGACTGACAAATGTCTAGAGGCACTCTCAAAGTCCTGTTCCAACAAAATTACGACTCTTGACGTGAATGGATGTATTGGCATCAAGGCAAATTCCCTCTTCAACATAGCACTATATCTATTATGAAAAAAAGGAATGCTAGTAACATACTCTTTTATTGAACATAGCACTATATCCACCATTGGTTAGAATTATTGAAGATTACAAAATGAAGAGACTTGTTAAACATTCAGTAAGATCTATAAAAAATTATGAATTTCTATAAATTTTAACCAATGCTAGCTTGTTCGAAAGAGTATATTGGTAGCATTCCTCGTGAAAATTCCAATTATTAGCTGGACTGGTTTTTCTAATATTTCCTTTATTCTCTTGCAGAAACGAAGCCGTAAAGAGTTGCTACAATTGTTTCCCTATTTGAAATGCTTGAAAGTGCATAGCTAATGGGTGGTAGAGAAAAGAAAATTTGGTAATCAAACAGTCCTATCGACAATTGAGGCTATAAACTTTGAAATTTGCATTCTTTTGCCATTTCTTTTTGCATGTGATATTTTTTTTTGGTTTACCCCCAAGTTTTTGTGTTGGGAGAAATTCTTAGTAAAAAAATTTCACTGCATTTTTTTAGGCTTTATAATTTATTTACTTTCTTTGTAACAATAATTTTACATTTTTGGAACTCAGTTTTTGTAATTACATCAGTAAGAAATTTCTGCAATTTTTTATGCTGGGTAAAGACATTCCACTACAAACTCTCGAGCTTAATTTTTTATTTTTCTAGTAGTTTTGTCTTGGTGAACTTTTGTAATAAAAAAAATTCACCTACACTCTTTCAAGCTCATTTGTTTATTTTCCTATCTCGTTTTGAGTAATGTTTTTACATTTTAGGATTTTAGTTTTCGTAGTCACACCGGTAAGAAATTCGTACAATTTTTTGTGTCGGGAAAATTTTTTTTTCTAGGATTTTCTCCGATAAATTTTAAGTAAAAAAATTTCACTGTGGTGTTTCAAGCTCATTTTTTCTATTCTTCTATTTGTTTTGAGTAATATTCTTGCTTTTTAAGAATTTATTTTTCATAATTACTCAAGTTAGAAATTTTTACAATTTTTTTGTGTTGGAGATATTTTTTTTTTCATAAAACAATTCAACTGCACTTTCTCAAGTAGTTTTGAGTAATATTGTAACATTTTTCGAATTTAGTTTCGTAGTTATTCAGTTGAGAAATTTATACAATTTTTTGTGTTGGGAAAAATTCTTAGTAAAAATTTTTTACTACACTCTTTTAGGTTTTATAATTTATTTGCTTTCTTTGTAGCAATAATTTACATTTTTGGAACTAGGTTTTTCTATTAGTAAGAAATTTCTGCAATTTTTGTGCTGGGTAAAGACATTCCATCACCGTTTTTCGAGCTCAATTTTTTATTTTTCTATTAGTTGTGTTGGAAAATTTTTGTAATAAAAAAAATTGCACTACACTCTTTCAAACTCATTTGTTTATTTTTTTATCTGTTTTGAGTAATGTTTTTATATTTTAGGATTTTAGTTTTTGCAATCACAACGGTAAGAAAATCGTACAATTTTTTGTGTCGGAATTTTTTTTTCTAGGAATTTCTCTGCGAAATTTTTTTAGTAAAATATTCCACTGTGGTGTTTAAGCTCATTTTTTCTATTCTTCTATTTGTTTTGAGTAATATTCTTGCGTTTTAGGAATTTAGTTTTTGTAATTACTCCAGTTAGAAATTTGTATAATTTTTTTTGTGTTGGGTATATTTTATTTCATAAAAAAATTCAACTGCACTCTTTCAAGTAGTTTTGAGTAATATTGTAACATTTTTTGAATTTAGTTTTATAGTTACCCCGTTGAGAATTTATATAATTTTTTGTGTTGAGAGAAATTCTTAGTTAAAAAATTTCACTGTACTCTTTTAGGCTCTATAATTTATTTGTTTTCTTTGTAGCAATAATTTTACATTTTTGGAACTCAATTTTTTTAGTTACACTATCTGCAATTTTTGGTGCTGGGTAAAGACATTCCACTACAGTATTTCGAGGTCAATTTTTTATTTTTCTAGTAGTTTTGTGTTGAGAAATTTTGGTAATAAAAAAAATTTCACTACACTCGTTTCAAATTTATTTATTTATTTTTCTATCTCGTTTTGAGTAATGTTTTTACATTTTAGAATTTAGTTTTCGCAGTCACACCGGTAAGAAATTTGTACAATTTGTTATATCGGAGAATTTTTTTTTTCAAGGAGTTTCGTTTGAAAATTTCTTTAGTAAAAAAATTTTATTGTGGTGTTTCAAATTCATTTTTTCTATTTGTTTTGAGTAATATTCTTACTTTTTAGGAATTTAGTTTTTGTAATTACTCTAGTTAAAAATTTTTACAATTTTTGTCTTGGGGATATTTTTTTTAATAAAAAATTTTAATGCACTATTTCAAGTAATTTTTAGTAATATTGTAACATTTTTCGAATTTAGTTTAGTAGTTATGCCGTTGAGAAATTTATACAATTTTCTGCGTTGGGAAAAATTCTTATTTAAAAAATTCACTGCACTCTTTTAGGTTTTATAATTTATTTGCTTTTTTTGTAGCAATAATTTTAAATTTTTGGAACTCAGTTTTTATAGTTACACTATCAAGAAATTTTTGTAATTTTTAGTGCTGGGTCAAGATATTCCACTACAGTCTTTCGAACTCAATTTTTTATTTTTTTAATAGTTTTGTGTTTGGAGAATTTTGTAATAAAAAAATTTCACTACACTCTTTTAAACTCATTTGTTTACTTTCCTATCTGTTTTGAGTAATGTTTTTATATTTAAGGATTTTAGTTTTCGCATTCACACCAGTAAAAAATTCATACAATTTTTTGTGTTGGAGAATTTTGTTTTTTTTTTCAAATAGTTTATCTGGGAAATTTTTTAAATAAAAAATTTCATTTTGGTGTTTCAAGTTCATTTTTTCTATTCTTCTATTTGTTTTGAGTAATATTCTTGCTTTTTAGGAATTTAGTTTTTGTAATTACTCCAGTTAGAAATTTCTACAAGTTTTTTGTGTTAGGGATATTTTTTTCATAAAAAAATTTCGCTGCACTCTTTCAAGTAATTTTGAGTAATATTGTAACATTTTTCGAATTCAATTTCATAGTTACCCCGTTGAGAAATTTATACAATTTTTTGTGTTGGGAGAATTTTTTAGTAAAAAAATTCCACTACACTCTTTTAGGCTCTATAATTTATTTGCTTCATTTGTAGCAATAATTTTACATTATTGGAACTCGGTTTTTGTAGTTACACCAGCAATAAATTTTTGCAATTTTTTGTGTTGGGTAAAGACATTCCATTACAGCTTTTCAAGCTCAATTTTTTATTTTTCTAGTAGTTTTGTGTTGAGAAATTTTTGTAATAAAAAAATTACACTTCACTATTTCAAGCTCATTTGTTTATTTTTCTATCTGTTTTGAGTAATGTTTTTACATTTTAGGATTTTAGTTTTCGCAGTCACTTCGGTAAGAAATTCGTACAATTTTTTGTGTTGGGGGATTTTGTTTTTTTTTTTCTAAGAGTTTCTTTGGAAAATTTTTTTAGTAAAAAAATTTCACTGTGGTGTTTCAAGCTTATTTTTTCTATTATTCTATTTGTTTTGAGTAATATTCTTGCTTTTTAGGAATTTAGTTTTCGTATTTACTCCAGTTAGAAATTTCTACAATTTTTTTGTGTTTGAGATATTTTTTTTTCATAAACAAATTCCACTGCACTCTTTTAAGTAAATTTGAGTAATATTGTAACATTTTTTAATTTAGTTTCGTAGTTACCCCGTTGAGAAATTTATACAATTTTTTGTGTTGGGGGAATTTCTTAGTAAAATAATTCCACTGCATTTTTTGAGGCTCTTTAATTTATTTGCTTTCTTTGTAGCAATAATTTTACATTTTTGGAACTCGGTTTTTGTAGTTACGCTAGCAAGAAATTTCTGCAATATTTTGTGCAGGGTAAAGACGTTCCACTACAGCCTTTCGAGCTCAATTTTTTATTTTTCTAGTAGTCTTGTGTTGGGAAATTTTTATAAACAAAAAAATTTCACTACATTCTTTCAAGCTCATTTGTTTATTTTCTTATCTGTTTTGAGTAATGTTTTACATTTTAGGATTTTTGTTTTTGCAGTCATACTGGTAAGAAATTTATACAAATTTTTGTGTCGGAGAATTTTGTTTTTTTTTTTAGGAGTTTCTCGGAGAAATTTTTTTAGTAAGAAAATTCTACTTGTGGTGTTTCAAGCTCATTTTTTTTATTCTTCTATTTGTTTTGAGTAATATTCTTGCTTTGTAGGAATTTATTTGTCGTAATTACTCCAGTTAGAAATTTCTACAATTTTTTTGTGTTGGGAATATTTTTTTTCATAAAAAAATTTCACTGGACTTTTTCAAGTAGTTTTGAGTAATATTGTAATATTTTTCGAATTTAGTTTTGTAGTTACCCGTTCAGAAATTTATACAATTTTTTGTGTTAGTGAAATTTCTTAGTAAAAAAACTTCATTGCAATCTTTTAGACTCTATAATTTATTCGCTTTCTTTGTAACAATAATTTTACATTTTTGGAACTTGGTTTTTCTAGTTATACCAGAAAGAAATTTCTGCATTTTTTTGTCTTTGGGTAAATACATTCCACTACTGACCTTTCGAGCTTAATTTTTATTTTTCTAGTAGCCTTGTGTTGGAAAAATTTTGTAATAAAAAAATTCCATTACACTCTTTCAAGCTCATTTGTTTATTTTCCTATCTGTTTTGAGTAATATTTTTACATTTTAGGATTTTAGTTTTCGCAGTCACACCAGTAAGAAATTCGTACAATTATTTGTGTCGGAGAATTTTGTTTGTTTTTCTAGAAGTTTCTCTGCGAAATTTTCTTAGTAAAAAAATTTCACCATGCTGTTTCAAACTCATTTTTTCTATTCTTCTATTTGTTTTGAGTAATATTCTTGCTTTTTAGGAATTTAGTTTTCGTAATTACTCCAATTAAAAATTTCTACAATTTTTTTTGTTTTGAGAATATTTTTTTTCATAAAACAATTCCACTGCACTCTTTCAAGTAGTTTTGAGTAATATTGTAACATTTTTCGAATTTAGTTTTGTAGTTACCCCGTTGAGAAATTTATACAAATTTTTGTGTTGGGTGAATTTCTAAGTAAAAAAATTCTACTGCACTCTTATAGGGTCTATAAATTATTTGTTTTCTTTATAGCAATAATTTTATATTTTTGGAACTCGGCTTTTGTAGTTACACCAGCAAGAAATTTCTGGAATTTGTTGTGTTGGGTAAAGACATTCCACTACAGTCTTTCGAGCTCAATTTTTTACTTTTTTAGTAGTTTTGTGTTGGGGAATTTTTGTAATAAAAAAATTTCTCTACACTCTTTCAAGTTTATTTGTTTATTTTTCTATCTGTTTTGAGTAATGTTTTTACATTTTAGGATTTTTGTTTTCGTGATCACACCGGTAAGAAATTCGTACAATTTTTTGTGTCTGGGAATTTTTTTTTTTTTAGGAGTATCTCTGGTGTTTCAAGCTCATTTTTTTATATTATTCTATTTGTTTTGAGTAATATTCTTACTTTTTAGGAATTTAGTTTTCGTAATTACTCCAGTTAAAAATTTCTACAATTTTTTTGTATTGAGGATATTTTTTTTTCATAAAAAAATTTTACTGCACTTTTTCAAGTAGTTTTGAGTAATATTGTAACATTTTTCGAATTTAGTTTCGTAGTTATCCCGTTGAGAAATTTATACAATTTTTTGTGTATGGGGAAATTCTTAGTAAAAAAATTTCACTGCACTCTTTCAGGCTCTATATTTTTTTTGCTTTCTTTGTGGCAATAATTTTACATTTTTGAAACTCAGTTTTTGTAATTACATCAGCAAGAAATTTCTGCAATTTTTTGTGTTGAGTAAAGACATTCCACTACAACCTTTCGAGCTTAGTTTTTTATTTTTCTAATAGTGTTGTGTTGGGGAATTTTTGTAAGAAAGAGAATTCCACTACACTCTTTCAAGCTAATTTGTTTATTTTCCTATCTATTTTGAGTAATGTTTTTACATTTTAGGATTTTAGTTTTCACAATCACACCGGTAAGAAATTCGTAAAAATTTTTGTGCCAGGAAATTTTTTTTTTTCAAGGAGTTTCTCTCGAGAAATTTTTTTTTGTAAAAAAATTTCACTGTCGTGTTTCAAACTCATTTTTTCTATTCTTCGATTTGTTTTGAGTAATTTTCTTGCTTGTTAGGAATTTAGTTTTCGTAATTACTCCAGTTAGAAATTTCTACAATTTTTTTGTGTTGGGGATATTTTTTCTCATAAAAAAATTCTACTGCACTCTTTCAAGTAATTTTGAGTAATATTGTAACATTTTTCGAATTTAGTTTCGTAGTTACCCCGTTGAGAAATTTATACAATTTTTTTGTGTTGGGAGAAATTCTTAGTAAAAAAATTTCACTGTACTCTTTTAGGCTCTATATTTTCTCTGTTTTTTTTGTAATAATAATTTTACATTTTTGGAACTCAGTTTTTGTAGTTACATCAGCAAGAAATTTCTGCAATTTTTTGTGCTGGGTAAAGACATTCCACTACAACCCCTTCGAGCTCAATTTTTTATTTTTCTAGTAGTTTTGTGTTTTTTGTATTAAAAAAAAATTCACTACACTCTTTCAAGCTCATTTGTTTATTTTCCTATCTGTTTTGAGTAATTTGTAGTAATAAATTTATTTATGTGTTTTGGGGCATTGGAAAACCTTTTATCCAAGTAATTTTGTTGATTGGCATCATTATGCCTTATTTTATAGCTACAATTCTGACATGAGAAGCCCGAGTAGAAACGAACAGCTAAACTGTTTCTTATCTTGACTGCCCTGTGATAACATTGGTCTGGTTTAGATAAATTTCTTCATGAGAAAATGAGAAGGCTAAATGAAAAAGGTTTTTTATTTATAGAAGTTTTTTATGTAACTTCTCCAAAATTGAAATGTAGAGGTTGATGCTAATTTATGAAAGAAGTTTGATTTATTTACTTTACAAGTATTTATTATGAAATTAAAATAAATATTTGGTCTTTGGAGAATGCAGTGGAATGTTTCCCTGTACATGGCCATGACCCTGTCCCTAAAAACTTTTTGGGACTGGATCCTCTGCAGTGACATTATCATGGCAAAGGATCTTAGCCATTGGCTAAATTTCATTAATTTAAAATATTATATTTAGAATCTAATTTCTTTTAATTACGCAACTTATATTTAATATGACTATATAAATATCATATTTAGACTGTAATTTCTTTTAATTACGTAAGTCTTAACTAATATGACTATATGTTATAATTTGTTTACTTTTAATCCTTTTGTTAAATGTCATCCGGATTTTCCATCTGCAAGGTATATGTTCTGTATATTTTCAATTATAGGGTTTTTTCCATAATAGACAAACAAATAAGTTAAAAATAGCTATTTAATTTTAGAAAATGTTAATTTATTTTTAATTATAAAATTGTTGGTTTCGAATCTTTATTGTTAGAAGATATTAGTTGCAACAAATACTAAATTTTCAATAGGAGTTTGTTGTCTTTAATAAATAAATAAAAAAGAGTATTTTGTGGTGTTCTTTACCTCAAACTAGAGCAACTTAATGAATTTCAATTCGAAAAGTATGTTCTTTTTTCATTTCTCAAATATGATTTCGACATTGATAAAAAATAGGCCGTCTTTTAAGCTTAAAATTTGAATATATAAAAGTCGTTCTTTTCTTTTTAAGTAAACGTAGGACTTTACACGTTTGTTGATTATTTCGATCACGTTTTATAATTTGGATTTAAAAGGTTTCTGCGACCAAGTTTTAAATCATTCAATGTAACAAAACTTTTATTTTCTGTTATTTCTTAAAAATTATTAGGTTTGTAAAAAAATAGTTTAATTTGACATATGTCTGTACTCAATACCAATGCATTCCATCAGTCCCTAGAGGGAAAAAAAAAAACAAGTGTTAGAGATACAATCATAATTGTAATTATCAGGAAAAAAAAAATAAAACAGTCAAAAGCAAAGAAAGAAGTTTAAATCTTTTTAGAAGAAAATAAAAATAAAAACCAAATCGCACCCAATACTTACTAGTGACAACAATACATTCACACATCTCGTAAGACAAATATCATTTTAAAAGTAAATATCAATTTATCCCAGTAAGATGTATTTGGTTTGAGAAAAGTCCTTTATTTTCATAATTAATTTTAAAAACAATACTATGGTGTTATGATATATTTTATGTTTTAAATATTTATAGAACAAACAATGAAAAAAAGGCATTTTGGTATTTTCATTATTTTTGTTTAAACATTTAAAATGGAAAATGTTTCATAACTATTCTTGAATGCAAAAACTAAAAGTAGTTTTAAGTTTAAACTTGTTGAATATTTTCAAGACAACTATCAATAAAGAGATTTTCGAACGCGAATCAATTAAGACAAAATGTCACAACTTAAAAGACAAAATAGCACAATTTTCAGTATAAAACTTTAAAATATTAAGTAATAGATTTTTTTCTTAAATTATTTAAATTATTTATTTCTATTTAATATAAGATTTTAATTCATATTTAGATTCCAAAAGAATATTTCTTTGTTATATAAAAAAATATACATATTAATAGGATAAATATGATAAAAAAAATATTAATTTTCGACAAATTTGAAACTAAGAGGTGTTAGTAATTTAAAGTATTGATTGTCTTTTTTTAACGTGTTTATGAAATGGATTGCCTTAAATGTTTGCATACTATTAAAAAAATATATATTTAACAACGGAATTTCACATAAATTATGAGTATATGTGTAAAAAGTATACAAACTATATTTTATATGATATATTTTTTTTAAGTTACACCAATTATATTTAAATTTATATATAAAAAAATCATTTTGCATCAATTTTTATTATAAGTTATTAGCAGAAATGTATATATCCGTGTTTGTATTTTTTTATGTTTTTATTTTTAATAATTAAAATTAATATATATATATATATATATATATATATTAATTTCTAAAATTCTGCATTGGTGAAAACAAATTAGTGGAAGAGAGTTTCAAGAAAAAAGAATGTACTTGATGGAATAAGAAAGAAATAGTAGTTTTTTATTTTTTTTATTTATTAAATTATATTTAAAAAAATTGAAAAAAACCTATGATTGAAGGAGTGGAATTTTTCTAATTCATTTTATTTATATTCAAGAGAAATTAAGGATATTTGAAGAAATAAATGAGAGAAAAAATAAGAAATAAGAAATATATTAAATGATGAGATCAAAAGGCAATTATAAAATAAAATTATCTTTATATATTATTATAGATAACCAATAGCTTTTATATGAATACAAACAATGCTAAAAAATAGAAAATTAAAGATATTTCTCATAGAATCAACTCATTGAAAAAAATAAAATATAAATTTACTTACTTAAACAAAACTTTTATTCATATAAGTTAAAAAAAAAAAAAAACTTTAACCTATTCCATCTCCTTATTTACTTCTTTTTATTTCTCCAATGTCATTTTAAGCAATCATGATTTCCTTAAACGTTTCAATAAATAACTTGAATTAGATGCTCTAAGTTTCATCACTTCTGTAACCTCAATCACAAACCTTTGTCCTCTCCACATGAACTCCATTAGAGACCTTCCCATCCCACTCAACAATATTCCCTTCATGACAACATATATGGGAGTGGCAACCTTTGAACAACAAAGACCCCTTACTAAACACAGACACATACAAGATTGTATTAACACTGCTTCTGAAACTAAATTCAAATTATTTTTTCATTTTCTTCTTAGAGAAAACTTGCCTAACCGTAACCTTATATTTAAGTACTCAGCGGCAATAAGTATAATGAATACTAAACAGCAGTTGCATTGTAGATGAATGTTAATATTTTAGTTACCATCCAAATTATTCATACTTTCATTTCAAACGAGAAACAACAGGCATTTTTACAACATCTGAGTCGTTTAAGATATATTTAATTAAGAATTTTTAAAACATCTTAACACCGTATTACTTGTCTGGAAAAGACTTTTAAAATCCTGTGAAAATTTCATTGACTAAAATACTTTGATGAAAGTTATTTTTGGACATTGTTTATTAGATATGACAGTATCCCCCATTTCGTTTGAGCGCTAAAATATGTTCATCTGAATTTACCAGCAAATCAATAAAAGTATTGGCTTCAATTACTGTAAGTCCTTCTGATTCGAGCATTGAATGGATCGGCCTTAGAATATCTAGGCACATCCGTATAACTGTTTGAACTTTGAGAGGGTAAACTCAATAATTTTATTGATCATAGGTTTTGAACAGTCAAAGGTGTAATCGAAATAGAGAATTCTCCAACAAATCTTTCTGCAAAAACACAACATTCATTTTGTCGTACTGTAATGATAAAAGAAAATGCTAATGATTTTTGGAATACGACAACAATTGAATACTCATTTGCTGCCTGATATATTTAACTAATTGTAAGCATCTCTTCCTATTTTGCTAGATACAATAATTGTAACAGTTCAGATCTCATCCCCATGTTAAGCAGCTCGGTTGAATTCTATTCTACATTTACGCCATACCAAATTTGTCAAGTTTCTGACGGACAGAGCTAAATAAAAACAATTATCACATGTTGGTTTGTGAGAAATTGAACTTAGGTCTAAGGCTCGGTGGCGGCAACAAGGTCGGAAGGGGACACTAGTTCTTTACTAGTAAGATGTATGAACTATGAAGCCCCATAAGCATCTATAAAAAATTCCCTTTTAAAAGTGAAAAAAAAAAAATAACAAGATTTGGGGAGAGGGGGAAGGGGTGTAGAAAGAGACAAGTCAATAAGGCAGAAAATCATAATTTTTTTCTATGAGATAAAGGTAACATGATACATAGCAGATCATTGCAATGACCCCCATATGGAGATACCTGGAAAAGACAGGCATGATCTACCATTTTTACAAAAAACTTACCAACCAAGAGCTTCTTTCGGCCTTTTCTTTATGTATCTCTGAAACTGACCTACAAGGATTGACAATCATTATCAATAAAGAACTAAACAATCTTTGAAAATCATCCAAACAACACACCCAAACTCTGACCACTGTGATACTGTAGCAAGACATGATACAGACAGGTAAAGACAACAAATTTGTTCAATCAGTACTGAATATTCCACCAGCACACTAGTGTGACTAATCTCAGAGAACACAAAAGAGTAGCTCCTAATATTGCAAGGCTGGTACAGAATCAATCGTCTGTACGTTGCTCATGAGCTCATCATTAACAAGTTCAACAAAAAGGGAATAAGCAAATTCAAAGGCTGCCTATATCAGATATTCCTCAATGGAAATGTTAAAACAGCATTCTAAGGAGTCAGATACACTGCAGTATTACATGGGTCACGGTTTATTTGGAATTTTAGGACACTGACAGCAAATTGCATTTCTATTTCATAATTCAAAATTGTAAACTACTACCTTGTTCCACCACCTCTCATCCATTACATCCTTGGTCTCAACTCTCAATCTCTAAATGACACAATCCTGTCACCCTTTTTCTGCTAATTAACCAGAGACTCAACAGCCTTAAGAATTTTAAAGTAACCAGCACCAAAAGAAAGTTCACTGACATTAATCTTTTACAATAATAATTTATCAAACATGCTACATGTTTGTGAAGGGGGGGTGCCAGATGATGCTACCTTAGGGGTCAACGCCTAGATTTATTCTTGCAGCAGCGGAACTCGGCTAAGAGAGCTATGTGATCTGAGGACCATTCAGGTGAAGGAAGTGCAGTGTCCTTCCTCAAACTCTCCTCATCCAGTAACTCCAATAACTTCTCCACAACCAATGAATCCGCTGTAACCACAAGTCATTGTTTCAGAAAAATGTGACTAAGATATATACATTAAATTTAGGAAACCGATACAATAAAACACCATACTCACCTGTGTAAAATATGTAATCTAGAGTGCCAATAAAATCTCTAGTGACATTTGTGAATAAAGGTTCATTTGTTCCACCGTCCAGTCTCCTTTTATGCTGATCATATCCAAGGCTAACCGTTCTCGCAAACGACGAGTATGCACTGACCTATGTTACCAACAACATAACACTAAATTAGGTGAAATGATAGAAAAACAGAATTGAAATGGGTAAACGAACATATTTTGAATATGCTATTCCCTTAATGGAACATATTTTGAATACCAGTGGTAACTGATGAACCAACTTGCTGTGAGGACGTAAAATGTTAAGTGGGTCAACTGCTAAATCTGGATGTGAAGGATCTACCTTCCCCATTGCAAGAAGTGCATGAGGAGCACTGCAACATTGTTCAAATTAACCATTAAATCAATATCCTTCCAAAATAAAAGATAAAATTACAACAAAAAAGTAGTCATCAAACCTTCCCGGAACTGAATTAAAATCTCCACAAACCAACATTGGAATGTCTGCACTTGCAGCTATTTTCTCCAACCCTTTTAAGAGAGTATGAACCTAACGTAGGAGAAAAAATTAGAAACAGTAATGTTCAAAACAATCCTATAGATATGAACAAAACTAAAGAAAATAACTTACCTGCCAGAGTTTCACATCCTTTAAATCCTGGGGGACATTCACATGAGTATTTGCCTAATGTCCACAAGAAATGAGTTATAAGTAAATTTCTAAAAGAAGTTAGTTCATACTAAACCTAACAGGAACATGGGACAAACAGATATCAACATTAGAGAAAGATCAAAATTATGGTTTCAAAAAACATTACCCATTTAACCATTCTATTTGAGATTTTTATAATTACTAGTGTAAGATCCCGTACTTTGCTCGATGGAAAAGAGAGAGAGAGAGAGAGAGAGAGAGAGCAAGAAAGAGAGAGTGGAGAGAAAAGTGAAAGGGTGGATCCCCAATGCATCACCAACATGTGTAAAATATGGTAGTTGGATAGTATTTATATAGTTTTAAATGAGGGCGGGGGAGCATCCAGGACAAAAAAGTTCTTAAATGCAGTGAATCAGTAAACCAACAAACAATAAACAAATGGAATAAGCAATAAAAGAAAACGTCAAACAAAATATACATCATTGATCATGAAGATATGAACATGAAAGAGCTTACCACACAAAGAAGCTGTCTTTTCCCAGGATTATCAAATGGCTGATTGTTAACTTTTGCTTCTAGAACCACTATAAGTGCAACATTATCCTAATACCAAGAAAACTTTATGAGTAACAATTACACGAGACAAACATTTTTTTGTTTCTGAATATCAAAAGTGAAATGTAGTCTTTCACAAAATATGCCCACCTTAACCAGTCGATTCAAGGCAGTTTTCTTCTGAGTGGTTGGAATTGTAGCCTCTGTCAAAGACTGTGCAGCCTTGTTAAATTCAACCTGCACGCAAGCACACATCATTCTAATTTGTATAGAAACATAATTGAACAACCATGTGCAAATTCAATTCCCCACCTCATATTTCTTCACATGTGAAAATCTGTCTCTACGGAAAAATGTTGCACAACCATCAATTGTATTTGTGTTGCTACTGTACACCTACAAACCCACAGAAAATAGTTAGCATCTAAAATATTTTAAAGTTATGATCACAAGGACCAGAATATTGCAACAACCTCATTTGTTTTTCTCTTGTAAAGTCCATAATATCCATGTTTGTCCAGTTCAGGAGAAAAAAATTCATCATAATGATCACTTTGAACCTGGAAAGTAAAAAGGTTGTCAGTTAGATAATTAAGAAGCTATTGAAATCATAAATTTCAAAGCTGGCAATGAGCATATCTAGACCAGAAGAGACTATAAGTGTATAACTTCAATTTCCACACAAATGGAAATTATGGTGATGTTTATTGTTACTCAATAATTCACAAGAACATCCTAATCATTTACAACATGTAGACATGCTTGATATCCCTGATTCAACAATCATATCTTCAAAAACACTGCAAATAAAAGGTTAATTTAAATACCAACAAATAATAACCAAGCCTTTTCCGTTATGTGGGTCATCTATATGGATTACATGATGTCATGATGTTATATTGATAATTATGGTTGTGGACAACAAAGAATGGGCCTCTAAATCTTTTTTAATGAGTTTCTCCTATAGTTTTTCTTAGTACATCCATTTAATTTATTCTCCTTACTGGGTCCTCAAAAAGTGTTTATATAGTAACTGAAACTCTAAACTTCCTCTAGTTAATTAAACACCATCCTCATAAAAAAAGAGTTAAGGAGCCAAGTACATAGAACAAGTTTGTTCAACTAAAATCAGAAGTAAGAACATGTTCATGTACCTCCTGAAGACAAATAATGTCTGCACGATAACCAACAATTTCTCGTAACAAATTTTGCCTGCGATATGGCCAAGAAAGTGCCCATGAAGGGCAATAATTGTATAGATCATTTGAGGCATATGCTTCAGACAATATATTGTATGATAGAACAGTAAACGTTCCTGAAGTTGCCATTCTCCCATCCACATCTGCATGCCCCATTCCATCAACAGGTATCAGCCGGCGTGGAATAGGTGAGGGAGCAGGAATGACACGTGAAGTTAGTATAGTGTTAACAGCCCCCACAGGCAGTTTTGTCTCTGCATCGACTACGACACACTCAAACTTAAGGACATGACCAATGTCATCAGCAGTAGGGGTGTAAGTCTTAGCTCTACCAACTTCAAACCAAGTTTCACCACTTCTTTGTGTGACAGCAGCGGGATACAAAGGTGTTCCAGACCCATTTGTCAAGCTAGCACTTGATGCAGAAGCAGATAAGCTGGAATTGATTGCCCCAGATCCAGTACTATTAAAGCGCCCAAATACCTCTTCCTCCTCATTTCCATTTTCATTAAGAGCACTAGCAGCACGATCATGTAAGACCCGATGATGCTGCCATGCGTCTGAAAAACACTTTGTGCTGCAATGGTAACTCTTGGAAAGAGAAATTTTGGCCTTAACACAACCTAGGCATTGCAGTGTGGCTTGTTCTGATGGATGTATGCTACAGACAGCAACTTTTTTATCACTCTGTACTCGATACCTGCCAAAAATGAGGATCAAAGGATATAGTCAGACAGTGTAAAAGGTCAAATTTCCAAATCAGATTAATAGAAAGTGTATAAAGGCAGCATACTTGGGATCAAATTCATATTTGATAAAGTGAACGTACGTGAGCTAACACATATGTGAATGGTTCGTGAGTGTCAAATTAAGAATCCAGAACATACCCACTAATCCAAAACCAAAACATGAAAAAAGGTGGGAGTATCCAAGTATAGAATTTGACCTTAATACACATACACACACACACACTACAAGCACAACCTATCATCCACAAACAACTTTTAAATGACACTTACAGGCAAAACTCAGACTGCATGAGACAGTTTACGAATAATACAATCATCAGCACTACAAAAGCTGAAGTTATATCTCTTTCCACATGACCATTTGAATGCAGTTAAGTTAATTATGATAGACTATGAAACTCAAGAACTATCTACATAACATACTTACAAAAATTGAGCAGCTTTTAACCATAGATTGTTTTGCACCAAAATGCATATCCTAGCAACCAAAAACATTTCAAAAACTATCTGATACTGGTGTTGTCCCCAAAAAAGACAAACCAAGTAACACAGTTTCCTCAACAAGTACAGACAATATAATATAGTTTATATGTAATTAAACACATCCACTTATTAAGGCAGATGCAGATAATGTATATCTTAAAATACCCTACAAATTTCCTGAATCATGAATTAATACAAAGCTTCCCCATAAAATTTTCCATGAACATGGTAACAAGATTGGATATTACATATGCAATTTAGATGGCAAAATGCTTCCAGCTTTGCTTCTTTAGAGGATGTTGGCGTGACACTGCGTCTATCTCTATATATTGGCACACAAGATACCCCCAATATCTTGAATTCCTACTAGGATGCTGCATGTAATCATTGACATTTTGAATACCAAGTACAAAGGAATCCAATATGTCTCCGCATCCTTCATTACTTTACAAATATTTATTAGTTACTTTGAGTTGCTGCACCAAACATTAAAATTGGATAACAGAGTATCTACTGTACCAATAAGAGGATGATGGTTTACCAATTATGTAAAACTCTGTAGAAATAATATAACTCAACCCATGATCTCATAACAAGTACTAGGTTGGTATAAAGTTCAAGGGTTGTGTTAGCCTCTCAGGAACCAACATAAAACTTGTCAAAACCACCACGTGAATCACTCACAATATTTAATGAAATTTTGAGATCTAAAAAATGACATTTGAGAAGAGAATAAGAACTTAGTTCCTATATAAAAGAAAAGCAGAATCAGAACTGAGTTGAATTACATAGGGATTAAATTTGCATCAATCAAAAGATGAAATGAGATTGCAAAGAATCAATTTGAATTTATGCTAGGAAAGTCTACAAGAAAAGTTACTTAACTTCTATCGGATTCAACAAAATGCAAGGGTCCAAGTCCACATTCTATTATATACCAATGTCTGAAAATGCATCCCACACAACAATCGTAGCATCTAGTGTATAATTCAATTAATTTGCAACATTAAGTGTGGCACAAGGCTTTCATCCTATCCTCAAAACCTTAAACAAGACATATTTAAAGAATTCTAATTATTATTACAAAAAAGAAATATCAAACAGCAGTATTACCCAAGGCATTTTAAAACAACTACAGCCATGATTTCAGCCGACCTTGACAACAACATTTTGAGTTATACACAACCAAACACTGGACAATACTAGTACTTAGTATCATTCAATCAATGTGCAACAATATGGGTGGCATCTACTTCATGGCATCGATGTTTTTTGCTATCACCACATTCATAAGGTTTTTGAGCTACCTGACCAGAGCTATGGTTATATTTATCAAAATTCTCCACAACGTCAAAATTTGAAATATTAAGAGTATACTCAGTTTCCCACAATCTCATCCATAAGTCTAAATGGCAACTGCAATATAAAACCTCAAGCCAAAATCATTATTAAAAATATTGGTAACACCAAATACACTATTACTCATAAATTACAAAAGCTCAAAACAAACAATATAAATAAATAGAAAGAAATAACAAACACTTGCAAACACTTTTTTCAACTCCAAAACAAAACAAAACAAAACTCGTTTGCCAATAGCAAACTAATCATGTCAACAAAACAACTACTGTGAATTTTGTCAAATTCTAATAATCCTTCCTCTTTGTTTGACCGAAAGTCAAACATGACTAATTCCCAAAGCAGAGAAGAAAACAGAGAGGGAAAAGGCGAACCATTTATAGCGAAGGAAATGACCATCTAAGGGGGCAATTTCGGGAACATCATCGGTGGAGATGGTCTTGTCGGGGCGGCGAAGGAGGACATACGGCGTGAGTTCGCAGCCTACAATGGGAATTTCCGAGGGCAGGTGCACGCGCACCACGCTCAGCATGCTTTACTCTTCGTCTTCTCGATTTTCTTCTTCTTGACAACAACGAAAACAATCGTCACAACGCGGTAACCCTATTATGGAGAATCGAAAGCCTCGGCGGATACCTGGCGGATCCGCCATTACTTGACCCGACTACCCGCCAGCCTTGCAAACGGATCTGAGGATTCGGATCGAAGGTTCTGGAAAGGGAGAGGAAACGTGAGAATCGATGGCTAGGGTTTTTACTGCAGAAGAAGAGGGAGTGCAAATAATTGGGGTTTGTTTTTTCTTTTCTTTCTCCTTTATTTGTTCGAGAGTCTTTGTTAATGACGGAGGTATACACCAATATACGATATTACACGCTGCGTATTGCAACGTTTGGGGTTTCTTTTCCTAGTTTCGTGGGCGTTTGGGAAGATCATACGAGGAAGATATTTTTTTTTAGGGCAAATTATTGGATTGGATCTTTCTCATTGTACACTGTTCCAAATTGATGAAGTTGCATTGAATTTTTTTTTCTTAAAAAAAAAACTAAAATTAAATCACTAAAAAATTATATGAACTTCATCCTAAGCTAATTATAAATATTGTTAAATACTCTAAAAGTAATTACCACAACTAAATATCCAACAATATTTAATGTTTAGAAAATAGGACACAACAAATAATATTTTTAATTGTTCTGTAAAAAATAAATTATTTTATAAATAAATACTTCTTTTCAGAAAAAATATTATTTATAGTTTTTTTTAGAAAATGTTCTCTTTTGATAACTAAAGTTAGGGAATATTTTTTCCAATCATGTATCACAACTAGCTGGCAGGATAATGAAGATAATAAAAATAATAAATAAAAGTGTCACAATAATTACTGGAAAAAAACATGAAAAAACTTTAAAAAAAATGGCTATGAAAATAGATTTAAAATTTTAAAAATAATTACATGTAATTCCTTATAACTAATTAAACATATTATATTATATAATATTATATATATTTCAAAATATTTATCTTTTGGTAAAATAATTAAAAACAAATACACTACAAGTTTGTGTTATTTAATGTTTATTTTGATTTGATGAAAGCTATATTTTATTATCATTATAAAAAATTAAAAAAATCATTTTAATAGAAAATGTTTACATGTTAAATTTGTTATTTTAATTAAAATATTAAAATTTATAGTTTATTCTAGTCTTATACTCTAATTAAGAGTGTATATTAACATTTATTGATATATTTTATTTATTTTTATTATTACTATTACTACTTTTAAATTTTTATATTTTGATAATTATTCTATAATAATAAATTATTAACATTACAATGTAATTGACATTTTTATACATAAAACCTATTTATGATTATGAAATATATTTTATTTTAAGATCAAATATTATTATTTAATAATGCTATTATTTACTAAAGTTATTTTTAATTGATATTTATCTTATGAAATATTTTTATAAAAAGGACTATCAAATTAAAAAAATTATGTTTTTAAATTTTAAGATTAAAAAATGTGGTACATGATTAATTTTTTTGTCATTAAAAAAAGTTATTATTTCTTGTTATTATTATTTTCATTATTTATTATAATTACTATAATTTTAAATTAAATAATATAAAATACTTTAGTATTCACTAAATATTTTAAAGTTACCTTATTATCTTATTGTTATTATTATAATTTTAATAAAAAGAGCATTTATTGTAAAATAGTTTTATAAATGGTTGAAATTAATTACAATAAAAAAATGCTAATAATATATATCTCTTTTTTATCTTTTAAAATTTTTACCATCATTTCATTTTTTTAATTTGTGCATATTATTATTAAAAATTGATTTTGATTATTTTATTACTACTATGAAATATTTTATTTTAGTAAAGATTCATTTTATATTTTTATAAGATATTTTATTTTAATAAAATTTTGTTATTTTTATAATGGTATAAGATACATTTATTACTGTGCCCACATTAAAGTTAAAACTTCAATCTCTAATGCTTTAGTTGTGTTGAATATATATATATATATATATATATATATATATATATATATATATATATATATATATATATATATATAATGTGTATGTATAAACTTAATAACACATAAACATAAACAAAAATATGATCTCTTTTATATTCATATTTTTTAAATAAAAATATATCCTATATATACATATAATTTTGTTAAAAATTATATATTTATTAAATAAATAAAAAAATTATATATATATATATATATAAAGTAAAAAAAAAGTGTATATATATTTACTTTTAGTTTATGAGAAACTCAGAACTCAGTCCTTATCTAAGAATATATATTGATTTTTTTACTGTGCAAAAACGGTCAATGTGAAAATAAGTTTTATGTTATGGTTGGACAGGAGTAAATAATTTTTATTATAAAATATAAACATAAATTTAAAATATTATTTCACTCAATTTTATATATATATATATATATATATATATATATATATATATATATATACTGATTTTTCTATTGTGCAAAAACGGTCCATTTGAAAATGAGTTTTATGTTTGACAAAAGTAAATTATTTTTATTATAAAATATAAACATAAATTTAAAATATTATTTTACTCAATTATATATATATATATATATATATATATATATATATAAATTTATTCACTTATTTATTTAAATAATTAAGATCATTTTGATGTTTTGAATTTATATATATAATTCAAAGTTTATGTAAATCATAATTACAAATTATTTTATCATTTATTGACACATAAATAATATGTAAAATAGAGATTAGCAAATTTTAAAATATTTAATATAAATAATTATAAATAATATCATTTTACTTCTGTTGAGGTATATGTAACTTTTGAATGGTAATAGATAAATAAATTATTATTAGAGTTGAATATGAGAAGGGAACTAAGAGGCGTGAGATTCATATATGTTTGAATGATTTTATCATAACATTAACATTTTATTGATGTGTCCTGACATTTATTTAAGTGAAAAATATAAATAGAATTTTGATTATCATATTAAAACTAAGTTTATAAATAAAGTATTACAATCATTACAAATTATAAATAGTATTAATTCATTTCGGGTATAATGACACCACTTCTTATTAAAAGTACATACAAATTTATATTTTCAATAAGAAGAGCACTTTGCATAAAAAAGTTTCAGGGAGTGGAAGCTTTCTAATACACAAAATCTTCATAGGAGACAAATGTAGAACATGCTTGCATTTAAGTAGGGAATAATAATAAAAATTACATGCTTCAGACTTTCAAAGAATAGAAAATTTAGAAAGATAACATTTTAAGAAAAAAAAACTTGTATTCCATTTATTCTTGTTGATTATAAGTTACAGTATTACAAGCTTTCCTATTTATAGGCAAACTACACAAACGAAATTGAAAATTTCGCTAAATTGAAATGAACTTCAGACTCCAAATATCATATAAAGTTGAATCCAAAAATAAGGTTAGGACTCACATTCATTATGACCTTACAGACAAGATAAGATGCAATGAGATATCTTACAGCGATGGTCTTATAGAAGATAAGATATGATAAGATATCATATATCTTTAAATAAAGTAAAGTTGATTCAGTCTTATTTTCATTAACACGTTTGCGGAGCTCGCAATGAACACGTGTAAATATAAAGGAATTCTGCTTTAGTAATGAGGATAGTCATTGACTAAAGCCTTTACTTTGAGTCAGATCTGGTGGAGCCAAAATAATTCATCTGCTGAGCCTTGCTCCTTGTCATGCTTCCATGTAGTGCATCTCAGTAGGGATACATTTCTTTGTGCATCATCATTTCTTCCATTAATTCTTCGAGCACATAGATCTCAGTCGTTGATTTGAAAATCTTATCTGTTGAGATTCATCGTCTTTTGGGACAATCCTATTCAGAGGATAAAAATTAAGCGGCCTTTGGGATGAACTAACAATATTAGGGTCCACCGGCTTGTAATGGTAGTTGTTGACTTCATAGAGGTGTCGAGCTAGTTGGGTTCTGTAACTTTTCATCAAGAGGATAAGTCTCAAAGCTTCCCTATATGTATGCTTCATTTCTTAACCATAATTAACCTGCAGGATTTAGAAAGTATGGACGGTGGATGATGAAGATTGAAGTAAGATCTTTGAGAGAGTCTTCAGTCATTTCTCGTTGTTTCTGGAAGTCTAAAATTTTGTTGAGTTCTTGTCTCCACCAAGGCAATAGTGGATTATAGTAAAGTCTAGAAATAAAACTTCTCTTTGTAAGGATTTGTCAAATTCCTATAGGCTAGTTGTGTCTTCAAAGCAATAGGGATAGAGTATTGAACAGTGTTACACCATATAGTCCAAACCAAAGAGTTAGTTCACAGAGGTCCCAACCAGGGTCATAGAATAGTTCAAAAACTCCTCCAAAGGGAATGTCAAAGTCAAAGATGGAGGTTGAGATGATTTTGTATTTAATGATTTCATGAAGAAAGTAAAAGTAGCGAGATTTCGCATACTGAAGGATATTTGCAGGAGAAGTTGGGTTCAATCTAGGAGGATAGACTTTTACGGTTTTGGCCTTGTTGGATAGGGATTTGACCATGAAAATGAGAGAAAGACTATAAGTGTTAGAGATCAATTGCACAATTTTCTTTAGTCTGGACAGAAAATTAGGGACGGTGTTTTGGTTTCCTTTGATGTGCTTAACAGAAAAATCATACCTTAAAAACCAGTCCATCAGTAGAAGGATTTGAGGATTAAGAGACATTCTGTTTTCGAACTTTAGGATTCTTGGGAACGAGATGTTATCCATCTGTATCTCAATGATGTCCTCTGAGATGAAAGTCACTTTTTTATTCCATTTTTTACAGCTAAGGCTTCTTTGAAGGTAGTGTGATAATGTTTCTCAATATCCTTGAACTGCCCACTTGCATGATTACAATAATACCTTTTCCCATTATCTTCTTCAATGAGATCTGCTCCCCAATAGTCATCACTGGCATCAGTCTGCAATATCCTTTTTT